TGAAGATCCGTGAAGCAGTAGTGTAGTGATGTAAGCATAGGGCATTCATTCTCGCTGAATCAAACTCCGATGAAAAGCATGCTAAAAAGAAGCTAAACGAGGCTCAGGGTATTTGAACAACTCAAAGGACTCTCCTTTTATGTATTTGCCTCCTTGGACTTCGTTGTTAATTATGATCTCTAACTCCCCTTAAATAGACCTTGATAGAATAATAAAGAGATACCCAAATCCGAGTGCAAACAAGAGATCGAACGGGTCAACGAACGACTAAGATTAAATTTTGTCATAACCATTTGGATCATGACCATCGATGATCCCTTGGTGACCATTGATGGTTCAACAGTAGCCATTGTTGGTGTTGATTTTGGTTTTTGAATTTCTTCAATTATTCCTATAAGCATCAATGGTTCCCTAAAACCATCGATGCGTCGTTGTAGACCATCGACTGTGCCAATTTTTATTTTTATTTTTCTCTAATTGACTTCTGTAACCATCAATGAGATGTAGACTGTCGATGGTTGCCTCTTGACCATCGATGGTTCAAAGGCTGAAATCAACGTTCGTGTTGATTTTTACATTGTTATGAACCACATCTTACGCGTACCTATTTATACCTGAAATGTATCATCTCACAAAATATATCAGTAGTAAAAGAGAGTTTATTATTATTTAAATAAGAGATATTGTACGAACAATATTTTAATGATCTCCCCCTTTTGATAATAACAAAACTCAAAATTTGAAATGCAGAATGTAAAACATTGTGAGATATATATTCAGCATAATATATAATTAGTAAAAAATAAGCACATAACACGTTTCATGCGAAAGATATATGATATGTAAAGCTTCCCCTACAAATATGTCTACATGAAAGTATAAACGTGCATAGGTTTTCTAGAAACTCCTCTTGAAACATAGCATCGAGTGTTAAAAAAGTTTCAAATCTAAAAGTCAATCATGAAATCAATTAAAAAAAATTTATATAAAGCACAAACCCTCATGAAATATTTTAAAATTTCAGCTCTCTCTACCTTTTGTTATTTAGCAAAGGAAAAACACACCAAGGATATGCAATATACTTGAGAATTCAGATAAAAATTATCCAAAAGTGAAAGGAAGAGAGATACATAGCGGTTCATAAAAAAGTTTGTGGAA